TGATTTTTTCCATGTAAATATCTGTGAAATATTTTATAAGACTATAAAAATGTTGACAGTTATTTCCTGAGACAACAACCCTGACAAGATTAGACTTGAAGTAGTTTTCTTTCTGCTTTCTTGATTGTTGTTCAGAGGAAAAACAAACTGAAAAGTGAATATATCCCCTGCAGATGTGAAGCATAGTATCTACAGTGCTGTTCAGTAGAAAAATGTTGCTGTCTAGCTCATTAAAGCAATCATATCATATAACAATGCCCACAGTACCATTGCTTATGAAACATATTGTTTATTCTTCTTGCCCGGAAGAAAACATGACCCTCAAACTTATGATCATCATCTCCATTCTATTTCTTTTTTCTTCAAGATAGGCTTTATCTGTGTAGCTTTGGAGTCTGTCTTTGTACTGGCTATTGTAGTCCAGGCAGGTCTGGAACTCACAGAACTCCACCTGCCTCTGCCTTCCAAGTACTGGAATTAAAGGTATGTGCTACCAATCTTTGGCTACATTTTATTCTTTATGATTTTGCAGTATATGGATTTTTGGCTATGGTGTATGGTTAGTTTTTTTCCCTTTAAAATGCTCTGTAAAAGGTGTAGTACAACATATATATTATTTTATTAATATTATTTTATTTGTTATTGGCATATATACTGGTAACATAATAGTGTTGTTTTAAATTTTGTGTTCATGTTCTTTTTTATTTTATTTATTTTTTATAACCAAGTCCATTTAAATGGAAACAAACATTTATAGACAGTATTAGGGAATTTGGCGTCGTTCTTTCCAAACTACTTCCTGCTGGTAAGCAGCGCTGTCATGGGGGATTCTAAGAAGATGCAGAAATCCTGGCTGTAGTCTGCAAGGCTGCTTTGTCCAGCTGTTTTGAATGTAGGATCACTTGGTACTCTGATTCAGGCGGTCTGCCTTGATCAAACGTCATTAGTCTGGAAGGAATCCACAGCTTGAATGCAATCCCCATTAAAACCCCACCACAATTCTTCAATGACCTTGAAAGGATAATAATCAACTTTATATGGAAAAACAAAGGACCCAGGATAGCCAAAACAACCCTATACAATAAAAGAACTTCAGGAGGCATCACCATTCCTGACTTTAAGCTCTACTACAGAGCTATAGTTCTGAAAACAGCCTGGTATTGGCATAAAAATAGACAGGTAGACAAATGGAATCAAATTGAAAATCCTGATATTTCATGCTCTTTTTCTAAACCTTGCAAACCATATCTAGAGCTGACTGTTTTAAATACTTTATCTCACACATGTTAAAGTACTTAATTTCCATCATAAAGTCTCTCTCTCTTCTTGCTCTATCATAAATTCAAACTTACTGACTCAAAACTTGTGGGTAGGGCCCTTATGTCTGTGATTTTTTTCACACACTATAGTTTATTAGTACTGTCTCTAGGGTTTCAGAATAGATGGTTTGTGAACTACTTGTATCTTTGGAATTGCTTAGCAGTGGTGCAGTGTTTCCTGAAATGATATGCTAATATATCTATCATATGTGTCCAAATATATTCTATTTTTAACATATGAGAATTAACATGACTACAAAGTAGTAGTTTCTCAGTGTCTAGGCTTGGTGCTTGTTTGTTTGTTTTGGTGGTTTTGTTTACATGTTTACTGTCATTTATGTGAATTGACTCCAGGGCTTCAATCATGCTGGCTTCAACTGTGGTGGAAATGACCATTGTTGCTTTGAAAACTTAGAAGCTGTGTATGTAACCAGTCTTGGTGAATGATCACTTACTGTTTTAGAGGTTCAGTCTTTCTGATCATTTAGGGGAGCATGGAAACATGGAGGCAGATCGGATACTACAGCAATAGCAGAGTGACTTTCATGTTGCAAACAAAAGGAAGTTGACTCCTGTCACACTCAGGAATGCTTGAGAAAAAGACCTCAAAATTTGCCCCCACAGTGACACACTTTTCTTTAACAACACCACACCTACTTTAGCAAAGTCACAACTCCCAATAATGCCACTCCCTGTGGGAGCCATTTTCTTTTCAACCACCACAAGTTCTTTATATTTGTTCAATTTATATTTGTTCTATAACTATAAGAGTTGCACAGATATTGGATATTTCTAATCAAAAGGAAAGAGCTGTCCCATCGCATTCTGATAATTATATTTTACATCAATTAGAAGATATACTGCTGCTGTTTTAAGCTTGTCATAGTTTCACAGGAGCACACATGTCCCTTTGAAACTAGAGATCCTCTAGTAACTGTATCTAATTTGTAATGTGGCATTTAAATAGAAGGCAAGTAATATTAAGGGGCAAACACATAATTAAAACAAAAAATAAGGACAGTACCAGGCTTTAGTACTATTTAAAGGAAAACAGTTGTGTTTGTATTTACCCCTAAGAACAAATATCAAGAACACGGGAATATAATATAAAAGCCTTAAATATTCTTAGTTAGGGTTTCTATTCCTTCATGAAACACCATAACCAAAAAGGAACTTGGGGAGGAAATGGTTCATTTGGCTTAAACTTCCCATTCACTGTTCATCATCAAAGGAAGTCAGGTCAAGAACAGTAGGGCTGGAACCTAGAGGCTGGACTAATGCAGAGGCTATGGAGGGATGCTGTTTACTGGCTTGATCCTCATGTCCAGCTGCCTTGGGATGGCACCCCTCACAATGGGATGGGCCTTTCCCCATCAATCACTAATTAAGAAAATGCCTTAATGTCCTGCTTACAACTTAGTCTTATGGAGGCATTCACTTGAATGTGGCTCTTTTTTTTTTTTCAGATAACTTTAGCTTGTGTCAACTTGATGTGAAACTAGCCAGTACATATGCACCCTTGCATATGCAACTTTTTAAGCTGTATGTCATAAGAAAGTGTTTAAAAAACATGTCCCAATAACAAGGAATTGATTTTTTCTTCAAGAAGTGTAGAAAGTTGTGTTAAAATGAGAAGCTTTGCCAAGTGTTTGAGAAAAGCATCCCTGTCTTCATTATTTATACTTATCAATAGAATTTAAAACACTTACTGTATCTTTTCATTTATCCATCTGATGATGGCTAGAAAATACTGCAATAATATATTTTTTAAAAAGGAATATTGGCTCTGGCCCATTTATGTGGTAAATTATAGAGTTTATCAGAATGAACTTAACTTTGTTCGCTACTACTAAAATGACTTAATGAGATATAAGCCAAAAAAAAAAAATAGAAAGGTTATGTTTTGTCAAGAAGGAAAGGGCGGTATGGTTCAATACCTTTACTTAAGTAACCTTTACATGTGCAATTAACATTTAAAAGAAACAAAGTTTTGGAAGCATTATAGAGTAATTGCACAAATGTAAAAAGTAGTTAGAAGCCTATGGTCTATTAGGAGAAATTTCTTCTACTAACACTGACAGTTATCAGAAAGTGAATTTTTTTTGATGCATAAAAGATGAGGGGAAAAAAATCTCCTCATTTGGTGGCATACTTACTTCTTTCTCCTTTGTCGTTTTCTTAGTAAACATCAGCTCACTGACATTTTCTAGAATGAAATTTTCATACTCACCCAGAAATAATCTTTCAAACACTACTTTTGAAATAGTTGAGAGAGAAAAATCATGCTATTAAGCAGCAGTAGATGAGAGAGATATAGAATGGATCATAGAGGCCTTTTACCTATTACCAAGTAATTTGTCAGAATCTATTGCATTTCAAGGGTTTTGTTATTGTTGTTGTTATATTTGTGTTCCATTTCTACTTCTATGACTAGATTCCCCCATGTAGATCATGTAGTGGGTATGTGAACTGATAATGTAACTTTTCAGTTTATTTATTCGTTATTTTAAATCCTAGGTAATTCTTACTTTAAAATTTGAGCCTTAATATGGATACCAATGTATGCCAAGAGTTTAGTAGAGAGGAAGAATTGAGTGGAAGGAGAGAAAATTTAAATGAAGGAAATAAAATTGCACTTCTGTGTGATGTCCTATATTTAGTTTCACTGGTTTCTGTGTTAAAGTCAATTTTTTTCCAGTTTAAAATGGCTTGTAAATGGTATCCACAAAACCACTGCTTCACATTTACTACAATCTGTTTCACATTTACTAAAATGTTTTTTTCTTTTATGAAGACAAATTTAAAATACCGTATGATTGCTTTATGAAACACTATTATCAAAATCAAGTTGGTAAGGAAAGGGTTTATTTGGCTCTCACTTTCTTTTTTATTTATTTATTTTATATAACCAAGTCCATTTAAATGAAAACAAACATTTATAGACAATATTTCGTAATTTGGGCGTCGTTCTTTCTAAACTACTTCCTGCTGGTAAGGGGCGCTGTCATGGCGGATTCTAAGAAGATTTGGCTCTCACTTTCATATCACTGTTCATCATCAAAGGAAATCAGGGCAGGAATTTGGAGGCAGGAGCAGATGCAGAGGCCATGGAAGGGTGCTGGTTACTGACTTGCTCTCTATGGCTTCCTCAATCATCTTTCTTAAAGGAACACCAATCCACAATGAATCACTAATTAAGAAAATGCCTTTCAGGTTTACCTACAGCCAGATCCTTTATAGACATTTCATTAAAACACTTTCGCTTGTTTCATATTGACATGAAACTATTAATCATAGCTCGATATGGAAAATTGGAAATCATGTGTAATATTAGTAGCATAATTTGATGATTCTTAAGTGTTCTACAGCATTTCTACAGGCAACTCTCTTTCTAACTTTGATAATTATGTAGCAATTTGACTGGGTCTTTAGCTGTCCAGATTAAATATCATGTCTGAATATATCTTAGAGGTTATTCTGGTTGAAATTAGCTGATCATATATATCTCAAGGTATGAGTCTGTTATATAGTGCCACAACTTCCCTTGCCAACTAGTTTACACCCTGTTTTGTTAATTTAAGTGGTTGTATTTTTTAAATATGCTTATTTGAGTTGTTGATATCTTCTTAAAATTCTTACTGATTAAATAATAACTACTAACTTTTATGCTTTTCTTTTTAGAATCTTGTTAAACATCTTCCTGAGCAGAATGTACTCAGAGAACTAGCACAGCTTAAGAGTGAATATGATGAACTCTGTGAGCCAGAGCAGTTTGGTGTTGTGGTATGTATTGGTCACAATGGCCTAAGAATACACTACTCACAAGCATAAGAAATTCATTAGTTGATTTATTTTGCTACATAATTAAATATAATATTGACTTAGAAAAAATATTTACTTCCAGTATTATGGTATTGAAATGTAACTGTGTCAATTTTTACATTCACAAAAATAATCAAACATATGGGATATTCTCTTCAACAATGATGATATTTAATGATATTATTGAATGCAAAATTGCATGCTGTATTACATTTATTAATTTTTTTCCCTTCAGATCTGAATGTTAGAATTTAGTCCCCAGAAAACTAGGCTGAAATAAAAATAATCATATTTAGAGAAATTTTAAAAATTAACCACTATTTTAATATATACATTGTATCTGAAATAACATTAATATTTTCAAACTTTCTAGAGGGTCAATAATCAATTGAGAACTTGCAATGTATTGTTTCCATTAGCTCAAATATCTTACAAGTTACCTGATGTAATTTAATTATTTTTCCTTATGCCCATCATTTGAAATGACACAGAATGACTAAGTATAAAAATATCATCATATATTAAAATACAGTAAGCCTGCTATTCAAATGATTATGCAGAAAAAATGTATAGAGAACATTGAAATTAGTTTCTCTGAAGAAAACCCATTTTTTTTCCAGAGCTGAGGACTGAACCCATAGCCTTGTGCTTGCTAGACAAGCATTCTAGCACTCAGCTAAATCCCCAACCTCTAAAAGCTATTTTTTAACTAAGGTGTTCAAGACAGATTTATTTGCTATATGAATTTCTGGTTTACTCTGCCTTTCTAATAATTTTTCATTTGTAAACCAAGGATTTTTAAGTTATCATTCAACCTGTTTTCAAAAATTATCAGCTTTATCTAAAATATTCCATAATGTTTCAAAAAAGTTACATCTTAGGTTTTATCTGATATCCTACTTCAGTTTTGAAATTTTGTTCATATGAAACTGTATTAGATTGGAGTGAGTCTACTCTTTATAGCATATACAATAAACTCTTGTCCATATTTATTTTTTATTCTGGAGCATGCTGTTGCCTACACTGAGGTAGAACTATTTGTCAAATCCCTAAAAAAGAAACTAGACAAGCAAATTTGGGATCACATAGAACATATAATGGACATAGGGGACATAGTCCTCTTATTTTTAAATTATATCTATTAGTCAACTGAATCGACTCTGTATAATTTATTAACTGGTAGCACTTTAACAGAGTGCTAAATAATAAAATTTGTAGCCCCAAGTCCACACTTGAAACCTAAGCAACTCTGATACATCTTATAATTGAAGCAGGACTATACACCATCTGAGATTTCAGCTGCATCATGATGGTTATGAGTTTTACAGTAGGTACATTACATAGTTTCTCAGAAACCATTTTTTCCTGAGTGCAGTTTATGTTGAAAGATGGATTAGTTTACCAGACAAGTCCTTCAAGAGGAATATCCTTGGTACCTCACTGAGGAAATGAAATTGGGGAGTACAAAAGGCAATATACCTTCTGAACTAAAGGCAAAAATAGAAAATGGAAAACATTTCTTGTTTATGCACATATTTAAGGCTCTATGTACAAGAATTCTCCTATTCTCCTTGTGTACTCGTACTGTATTTTACTCTGTCTCTGATGGGGTGGAGTCAAAGAGAATCTTCTGTATTGCTCAGCAGTTTTTAATATTGCTTAAGAGTATCAATTGAGACTTACTAAATAAAGGTTAGGCATGCTCTTCTTATTCAATATATTATTCATATTATAATAATAACTTTGATAAGTAACTAGTAATAAAAACAATAACCTTAGTCTTTTAAAGTTGTATGCAGTTTCTTGTGTAAAATAGGTAGTGAGGGTTTGGCTAGTTATAAGCAAACTTTTAGATAAAAGTGTGAGGCAGAGATTTTAAAAGAAACATTAAATATGAACTAAAAATATCAACTTAGATTAGTTCTATTAGAGTATATCTCATACTATTTAACCCTTAAACTTATGTAAGCTCCCTAATGACCAATACATTTGGAAAGTAGCATCCTTCTCACTAATGAGAAAACCCCCAACTTAGGGAAGCTCCTGTTTTCGGCTTTCTTCATGCATTGCCAATGTTATTTAGTATATTCATACTAAAAAATTTTTATTCATGATTTCAGTATCAAAACCTTTCACTGATTCCCTAACTTCAGACAATAGGTTTCAACCTCTCCCCTCCCCATTCTCCTTCTGTCTTTCATTTCTTATCATTTCTTCTCCTGTCTGTACATCCATTCTTTTCATCTATTTCAAACTCTTATTTGCCAGTAGCAGAACAAAAGCAGTTCATGACCTCCTTGTGTCTGGTCTACCTCCATAGTGGTCTACCTCCATAGTTGCTTTGTTGTTACATCACCCTAGCTGGTTTCTAACGTATGATTTTAAGCTAGTCTCCTATCTCAACCTGTTAGAGACTCTGGTTACTCAACATTGCTCTTGAATTAATACTGTTTGTTGTTGTTGTTGTTGCTCTGAGAACTAAGCCTGGGACCTCCCACATGCTAGGCAAATACTGCAGAGCAGAGCTCTGTCCTCACCCCACTCTTTTTGAAAATTTATTCATTCTTTGTGAAACTTCAGAAAAGGAGATGTCCAATGTTTATTACTAATGAACCCTTACAGTGTTAGTGATAGTAAAAGCTTACTAAATTGTACTTTTTGTGTACTTTTTGCTAACATTTATATGTGGGCCATTTTAAAAGTAATATTTTTAATATATTCCTCGGAAAATGCATTCATTGATATAACATATTTTAATCATTTGTTCACTGTTCTTTCCATTAAATCCCCCCTCTTTCTAATCCTCATCTCCTTCCCAACTTCATGTCCTCCATTTTGTTATCAATAGCCCTGGGTCCAATTACTGCTGTCTATATGCTCATGGCTTGTAGAGTTGTCCTGTGAGGTGTGGGCAACTTACCAGTGCTCATATAAACACACAGCACCTGTGATTACTTGTGTAATGCCTGCACAAGGTCAAGCCAGTCAAAATATTCATGTCTTTTATGTTTTGTGAGGTAAAGGTTGACACTGTTATTATCTCTGAACTACTGCTGAGGAACCAAGACCAACCCAACTCAGGTAATTGTTCAAGGCTGCATAGTAAATAGTAGATGTGGACTGCAGTTAGAATTCACAGTTTGTCCTTAAGTTACTGTGATTTACTAAAGGAAAGGGAGATGGTGGGAGAGCATGATGCACTAGATAAATGCTCTAGGACATGCACATTTTCATTATCTCTGCTGTGGGTATTTCTAACCCATCTAATTCCAGACAGCATTATTTCTTGCTTACTGTACTTGTGTTTTCTCTCGCTGCTTCAATTTGTCACTCTACTCTGGCCTTCTCTTCAAGGAAATGAATCTTGTCACTTGCTGCTTAAAATAGATGGATAGATGGTTGAATTAAAATGTTGTACTGACCCAAGGATCCTGCAAGTTACTGCCATTTTTCTATGACCTATCATCAGATTCTTCAGAAGTCTCTGCTTGCTCTCTTTTGTCTGTATCTCCTTCACTGTTCAGTCAGTAGCAATCAGGATTCTGCCTTAAATTATGCATTGAAATTGATCAAGGAAAGGTCATTAACTACTTCCTAGTCAGAGCTGAAGTATACTTCAGATCTGCCCTCCATCTCTACTGCCACTCTGATCATCTGAGGCAGCATGACTATTCCTTGTAATTGTTACCATATACTTTTAACAGTAGCTAGTCTAATCAGTCTAATTTTAGTGCCTCCATGAAGAGTGTCTTTGTAGCTTATCCCATTAGTTACTTCCTAAAACACTAATGGCACAGTATTTTTATTTTTATTCCTTCCATTCTTCCTTCCTTATGTATATACAGTAGATTCACCTGTATGTGAGTTGCTGTTCTTGCATATGTCTGCACGTGTGGAAGCTGGATTCAACATCAGGTTAACATTTTCTTTTCAATTTTTGCCTTCGTTCTTGGGGGCATTCTCTCTCTGATCTTGGAGCTCATTGTGTGAGCTAGACTGGGTGGCCAATCTGACACAGGATTTTCCATTCACTACTCTCCTCATTGCTGCCTTTATAGATATGTACCTCTGTGCTTTTCCATGGGTGTTGGGGACTGAACAAAAGTCCTTGTGTTTATACAGCCAACACTTTTCCCATCAACACAGTATTAAGCTATCTTAACATATCAGGCATATTTTGGCCTGGCATCTGACAATCTTTCTTAGTTTTGTATAGAGGCTCTTGTTCATTGTACATCAGCCATATTGAATTCCATTTTTATGTGTTTGAATTCATTCTTTTTTTTTTAAGAATTATTGCATGTACCAGCATGTCTGATTCCCATTCACTGCCTTTCTAAAACTTACTCTTTAAGTCTCAGCTTAAAGTTGACTTTCCCAGTAATTATGCCAATTGGGTAGCTGTGTGTTATAAGTAGGTGGAATATACGGATGTTATTCATGATAAGCATTTACCAAATTGTTGTTGAATGTATTTTTTAGATGCAAAGGCCAGTGGACTTATTCCATTATTCTCATACTCTCAATCCATATACCACTTCCTAACATTCAATTCATATTAGCTATGGCAAGATATGTACCATACATATGACTACTCCTTCTATATTGACTGAAATGGCAGTTTTTTTTTTTTTTTTTTTTTGAGAGAGAGAGAGAAAATAAAGCTTATCTGTGTCAGTCCCTGGGTTTTTTTTTTTTTTTTTTTTTTTTTTTTTAACTGTCACAACTTTCGGTTTACTTAAAATCACTTGTAATCAACTGGGAGAGAAAAAAACATGGGAGGGATAGGAGGGGATTAAGCAGAGACAAACAAGCAATATCAAGATGGAAATCTTCCCTCTGTGTGGAGGCCGACCTCCCAGCAAGAAAGACATGCTTCTTCCTACACCTTCTATGATCAATAATCTTCTTTAACGGGTGGATTGGCTGCATAACTTCCCACTGACTTGTTCTCCAACCTA